AAGTTCTATTTAGGGGTCTTGGATGCCCCTACTTTTGACTTTATTCCCGGAGAATTGAAATGACTGACATGCGAAATTTATACACTCAGAAGCATCAATTTTGTGAAGGGAAGGGGAAGGGTGTCCCCCCCTCCCATTAAATCTTCCTCCTCACAACAACTTTTTCCTCCCCCTAAACTTGATCAAAACCTTCGCTCCTGCTCATTTTTTGAAATCCATTGAATCCGTCTATTTTATTGTAGCACTAGAAACTTTTTTTTCAATTTTTTTAAACTTGATTAATGACGCTCCTGCTCATTTTTTGAAATCCATCGAATCCGTCTATTTTATTGTAGCACTGGACTTTTTTTTTTAATTTGTGGGGGGGGGGGGNGGAGGCTTGTTTTTTTGAGGAGAATACGGGAATTTACGCACGACTAGGAACACTGTCTGTGACATTTTTGAGGATATTCCGCCTCCTCCCTCCCCTTAATTTCCTCGTCAAATTTAACGAGATGCTTTCGGTTTTGTGCAAGCTCTGAAGCATTTCCTGTAACGCTCAACCAAGGCTACATACTCCTTCCTACTCGGAGATGATCGAAAACTCGTCGCGCCGAAAAAAACCGCCGTGCAAAGCTTATCGTTCGAGAATTAAAGTAATCGCCCTCGTTGCAGCACTCATGCAAGTTTTTTCAGTATCAAAACAGGAAAAGTTGTCCAAATTACTGACCAAATTACAGTTTTTTGTTGTGAGGACGTTCACATCTTTTTTTCTATTCGTAACCGATTCGTTCATTATCTTCGAGCCTCTCACTAGCACGATCGTATGCCCTCACGCGTTTAACAGAGGTCGCAACCCTAATTATTTTCTGGTTCCCTAAGTGTACCACTCTGCTAGTGTTACGCTTCGAGCTTGTGAATCGTCAAATGATTGAGCCTTGACTACAAATCATAGAATCATCTTATCAGATTCCAATTATTTAACGTTACGCGCTCATCATTTTTTCTGCTTACGGCGTTTCTCTTCCTCTGTGCTCAATTATTTAACATTTCTGACTGGATCGATCGTCCGGCAATCAGTTACCATCACGCTGCTCGCGGTATTTTTGTTTCCTTTGAAATTAGGTAAATGTCACTATCAGAGGAAACGTTGACATTTTAAAACGAGAAAGAAAAAATATATTGCAGAGGAATAGCACAATAATCGGAGAGATTGTCGTGTTTTTGTCATTGCACCTGCTATCCTCACCTCTCAGTCCGTCTTGTGTGCATCAATGGCTTATTCATATTGACGGTGAAACTACCAGACCGCATATCTCGTTCGTGTTGTTTATAAATTGCAGGTCTCCTTTTTTTAAAAAAGGAGAACCAATTGACATCATTTTTTGAAGTTTTCACACAGTTTTCTCCGCACAGAGAAGGAAAATCACGGAAGTTTTTGAAAATTGACATTAAGTAATTTTGAATTTAAAAAATAAAGTATGACAGGAAGTCAGTGTCGCAAACCGAGGTACGTGGTCTGGTAGTTTTGCCGTCTATATTCATATTTGCCGAAAGCTGTAAGCTCACCTCCAAACTTAATCGATTTTCCCCCATTTTTGACCAACATTTATGATCATTGTCTATTAAGGTCGACAAATCGGAACTTTTGGACTAGACTTTTTCACCGTTAAAATAAAAATTCACACCTACCTACAAAAAAAAAAAAAAAAAAAAAAAAAAAAAAAAAAAAAAAAAAAAAAAAAAAAAAAAAAAAAAAAAAA